GAACGAATCTACCACTACAACATGAAGAGAGAGAGAGAGAGAGAGAGAGAGAGAGAGAGAGAGAGAGAGAGAGAGAGAGAGAGAGAGAGAGAGAGAGAGAGGGTCCACTTGTTATAAGTAAAGTTTGCCATCTTTTGCTCTTTTCGTGTGCGTGTGCATGTGCAGTGCATGTGTGTGGTGCAGGAGAACATCCCAGGAGGTAAACCTGGTGCATGTTGCTACAATCTAAGTACATCCTTGGACAAGATGGAGCCAAACAAAGACACATAAGACTTTACTGAAGGTATCGGCAGAGCATTGTCAAAACTGGAGAATATGACGTCGGGCGATAGCTCAGATGTGGAGGTACTTCGTTCTAGTTCTCCCTCTTTCTTCTTCGTTGTCTACTTATTTCTATTCCTTTTGTCATCACATGCGGAGTAGGCAAAATGCGTCGGTAGCTATAAGATTAGCCATGTTTTGCAGTTTTTCTCAAAGCAAGCGTGCAAGTTGAATTGATTTTATGGTGTGTTACGATCCTGGCCAATTCCAAAGTCTAAACATACAAGGAAAGGCAATGACTTCTAATTGCAAAAGAAATTAAAGAGCTTGACAAGAGAATGAGACAAGAGAAGAAGAAAAAATAAGAAAGAAAAAGGACGAAGACGATGTACGCCAGCAAAAAGCCAATGAAAAATCCCCCTTCTCTCGCCACTCACTCTCCTCCTCCTTGTCTCGTTCAATCTCAAACACCAATCAATAATAATAACCATGGCTACGCTGGACCCGGACAGCTGATGTCAGGGGACCGGACGCATGTCCGGAAATGTCCAGACCATAAAAATAAATAAAAATAAACAAGGGGACCCGCCGAGGCTCCGCGCGCGACGAAGAGGGGAGATGTGGGTGAAGAGGTCGGAGGTCTGGAGAATTTGAAGAAAGGATACAGCGTCTCGGAAATTGTTGAAACAGAATGTAAAAAAAAAGAACAGGAAATCGGGTGGTGGACGATGGCGGCAAAGCAGAAAAGAATATGTTGAGAGAGGTTGAAACAAAACGCAAAAGAAAAGAGGATATTGTACAAAGCATGTCACATATAGGGTCCGGTGGATTTGTACACTTTTTTTTTCTTCTCTCTCCCCCTCTTTTTGTTTCTCTTTTTCTCTCTTTCCTTTTGTCTCTCTCTGTATTTCTGCGTCTGTCTTTGTCTGTCCTTGTTTGTCTTGCTCCTTTCGCCTCTCGAAGGCACGTCAAAGTTTTCCTGTTTGTCGGCGTTGAAGTTGCTTGTCGCTGCCGGGCCAATATGAAGTAGAGAAGTCTTTGAAGATGCTACCTCCCGTTGTCGGCCCTGTAGATATGAAAGGGGGGAAGCTGACATTGTGCCTGACGATGATGGGCAGCAATGAGGTCACTGAGATATTCCCAAGTGCGCGGGGCGTGTGGAATGTTGTACATGTGGAATGTGTTGCGAGATGTGAGGATGTCATGGATGAGTGCTGTTGCGCAGACACATCCCCATTGTTGAAGCGGGTGCCACCAGTGGGGATCTGTTTCGTGGACAGGTAGAGGCAGGGGAGGCGGTGAAGGTTGTGAAGATGCAATGAAGGAGTACTTGTGGTGAGCATCAATGACACGGTGGCGTCTGTATTTCAGAAGCCCGAGGTAAGAGCCAGTTTTATGATAGTGATCATGTTGGAGGAGTTGCAGTAGGAACGTTCTCGATTGTGTAAAGGTCGTTTTTGGTGATGGATGTGGTGGAGGACGATTCAGTTGACGCTCGCGGGTGTTTTTGTATGTAGCGAAGAAGGCATAGAGGGATGCGGAGTATGCAGCGTGGTCTGTGAGTAGAAAATCCTCCCACAGAATTTGGTCAATGATGTGATCAATGGTGTCGCCATTGAGGACATGTTGCCAGTCATCCCATTTACCATATTCATTGGGGTCAACATCTGCAGTATAGCGTGATTCATAGCGTGGTTGAGACGTTGACGGACCGGTGGTGGTCGGTGTCGTGGCAGGAACAATTGCAGTTGTGGTGTGGACTGATGGAATGTCTATTCGGGCGAGTGTAATGTCATCTAATCCGTACCGTTCAAAGGAGGCGGGATCTGTCAATAGTGTTGATGCAAGCGTTGTTGTTTGGTTGGGCGTGGAAGGTTCAGTGGTTGTATGGGAAGGGAGCGAAGAGGTGGTGTTTTGTGGTGCAGTTGTTGTAGTTGGGGTGGAGGAGGGGGATGGAGACGAAGGTGGAGAGGTCATTGCTGACGTGGTGGAAAGATTGGTCTTGAGCCTTTTTGTTGTCTTCGACGTGGTGGAGGGACCTGCGCAAACAACAAACAGGAAGGACAGAAAACAATCGTGCGAGAAGGAATTATGTTAAGATTTCTTTGTGAACTATGTTTGTGGAGTGATTGAGATCAGTAGGAAGCGCAAAACGAATATGGAGGGGGTCACCTACTCGTGAGGCAGCGACGTACAGTTGTCCATGAGTGAAAGAGGGTTGTCGGAGGTCAACACCTGCATGTTTAATGGATTGACCTTGTGATTTGTTAATTGTGAATGCAAATGCTGGTCTGACCGGGAATTGGCTTCTTTGCCATGGAAAGGGACTGGTTTGATCAGTGATCGAGAGTAAAATGCGTGGTAGAAGAACAGGTTTGAGAGGTGGAAGGATACGTGCGTGTAATAATCGATTGTTTGTGATGTTGTTGACGATTAAATGTGTACCATTGCACAAACCGTTTCTCATTGCAATATTTCGTAGAAGAATGGCAGGCGCCCCTTGTTTGAGTTCGAGAATGTGTGGAGGAAGGGAGGGGAAGTCGAGTGTGTTGAGAGTGTCGATGGCGACATCAGGATACGTGTCGTTTGGGAGAAGTGTATCAGCGCTAAGTGACGTTATAGTAGGGCCTGGAAATTGCTTGAGGATAATAGAGTTGAGGGCTGCAACGGTTTTGTTTTTCGGTGCAAGAATAAGCCGTTCAGCAAGCCATGTGGGGTCCTTGGAATTTGTTGAGAGGTTGGGAAATGTCCATCCAATGAGCTCTGTGGTCCCACCGTGAAGACAAAGAGAATGTGGAAGAGCAATCGTATTAGAAGTTGTGTTATGAGGTTGTGGAATATTACCATTCCCAACTTCGAGCAACCATTGGGCATAGTTATGAGCGTCAACGGAGTTCGTTTGTGTGAGAACTCACATATTCTCTGTTAGGTGCATCATTTCAAAAAGGCGCCAAAGAGGCGAGGATTTCAGGCATGCATTTACTGTTTGTGCACGTGTGCCTTTTGTCACAACTGATTTGTCTGAAATTGCCGCCAAAGGCCATCACTTTGCCACCAAATGGGAGGTCCGACGAGCAGATGTCTTGTACTGTACGGTCCATTGCTTCAACGTGATATCTATGTATCGTAGGTGCCTTGTCCCATAGGATTGCGAAGCTTCAGCCTCTATGAGCCCCTTTTAGGCCCTGTTAAGTAATACGTCGGCCGCCCTAAGTGAAGGCAGGCACGACGAGAGCCTGAGGGCCCCTATTTTGGTCACCACGCAACTCAAGGAAATTCAGGCAGTTGCGCAACGCCAGTTGGTTGGAAGAACCCACGCCAGGGCTAGCCTGTGTGCATGAATCGAAGGCAGGCCCTGGGCTGGATACGGGATATGGGCCTAACACAGGCCATTCACAGTTGGGCGCAAGCAACCACTACAGGCTCAGGGCCTGCATTGCGTGTACTGGGCCTCAGCCTACCGGGGCCTTCCGGAAGCTTCTTGGGAAAGGCCAGCGCAGCCTGGGACAGTGAGCAGGCAGGCCACTTCCATATAGCAAAGGGTCTGCCTCCTGTTTTGGCATTCGGGTGCTGGCGGCATGTTGCGCAAGCGCTGCTGCGCGATTTGCTGGCTGGCTCCCACACGCTCACGGGCGAGCGGGGATGAGCAGGCAGCCATAGCCGAGCTGCACTGTTGTGTGTTGGATGAGGCGCAGGGTGGTCCTAGGGTGCAAGTGGCATCTGTGTATTGAGGAACGGGGTTGAGAGTGAAGCGAGAGACATACCTGGTGCTGGAAGCATGCGACATTGGCCGCTATCTGCTCGTACTTCGGGAGAGCTGTTGTCGTCAACTTCGACATTGTAGAAGTAGGCTAGATAGGATCTGCCAATCTGTAGTCTGGGCGCCGAGCGCCAGATAGGACATCGACACCGGTTCATTGTTGGTGATGATGGGACTATTTGCACATTGTCAATTGTGAGCTTTCACTGTACTCTTATTTGGTGGAACTCGTGATGCAATTCTGCTTTCGGTTCGAGGTCACGACTATTTGGTCTCTTGTGTATGATGCTGTTTGGTTGCTGGAATTCCCTATTGCTCATCTTCCTTGCAATTCGGTATCGGAGTTGTGGCACGTTGCGCTCATCTGGCACTTGTCTTCTGCCTTATGTGGTACATACATGCGGTCTGCTTGGTGAGCGTGGCTGCACGGAGTGTGTAGTGAGGAGGGTGGAGACAAGAGGTGGCGACCCAGGAGGTGAGGGGATCGCCAGGAAGGCTACGGTGTGTATATTGGGTGTTCGCAGTGTGATAAGAACTAGCCGATGTGTGATTGATGCTAAGGTGGAACGGTGGAATAATGCTGGTTGTGCCGAAGCAGCGATTGGTCATCACAATCAACATCGGGTCATTTGGTGAGAAAATTTGTGGTTGGGGGCAGCTATATTGAGGTACGTTGCACCTAACCTTATCTACCCTCTTCGACACTTCTTACGGTGAGGATGTGTGTTTTGTGTTGAGAGTCCTCTCATTGTGAGGTGTCGTGCGCGCTCAACCTTGAGAGTCGTCAGTCTTCACGTGGAGCATCTCGAAGAAGGGCTGTGCTATCTGAAGGGCCCTGGACGAAGCACTGGGTCACGGTCACCATGCCAACCCACAGGGAGAAGAGCACGCATGCTTTACAACTTTGTCCTTGTCTGCTTGTTGCGCTCATTGTAGGGGTACTGATGGGGCAGGCAAGCTTTATGGGAGAGACGAGAACCGGGCGTCTATAAATAAACACCGGCTGGGGAAACCATTGGTTGTGATCGTCGTCCTGTTTGCGACGTTAAAGAATTCCTGAGGACACTTGGGGGCTGTCCTTAAATAGCCTCTTGATCAGCCAATGGTGTAAGGCTCGTTGCACGCGAGGATAAACAAAGTGCAGGACTGGCCAGCTCAGCAGGACTCGGGGCGCAGGGGTGGGCCGATTGCACACCTTTAGACACGCACGCTATCTGGATGGCTCAAGGACGCTGACGCTATGTGACATTCAAGAAGAATTGAGGGAGGGGTAGATTCTAGGTGATAAGTTCGGGTTCAATTCCATTCTGCAAACAGACCCAGTTCAATGATTCTATTTTTATTTTTGATTAGTTAGATGGAAAGCCATTGACATCAGCTTAGGGAGAGGCAGCAGCAGCAGAGGAGAGCTAGAGAAGTCGAGGCCAGCAGGGCATTCGCAAGCGCGTCCGCTGCTTCAACAGCCATGGCCACTTCTACCATGGTCACTTCTACGCAGCAGACTTCCCAGGCCAGCAGTTCAGGTATCGTCGGGTCAACGGTCGCACAGACCGTGAGTCAATCCACTGGCGTTATGGCAAGCCAGGCAGTAGTGTTGACCCCAGAGGATGTCGCCATCCAGCAGGCAGCCCTGCAGGAGGCACAGCTAACAGAAGGCATTAGGACAGATTAAAGCGGAGAAAGAAAGAATGATTAGAAGAAGAGCCAGGTTGCAGTGAAGAGAAGCGGACATAGAAGAGTTAGAGACGATGAACCTGACACACATGGACGACGATGTGAAGGTAGTTAGAAGGGCCCTGCTCGGAGTGATAGAGACGCAGGACCAGCAGACTGCCATCCTTCAGGACATCCAGCAAAGCCTTGCCATCCTGATAGGGCGTGCTCAGGCAGCACCATCACCGCTCAGGCTTGGTGCCTGGCCCGTGGCATATCCTCCTCTTTCTGTCCCACCGATGACAGGGGTATCCCCATATGTTGCCCGTCATCGGTTGCTATCGTCTCCCTGGGCATGCCGCTATCAGGAGGGATCTCAGCAAGTCCTAGTTTACAGATGCCTGTACAGACAGTGTTTACCCAATCTCTGTCGCAGCCTGCAGTCACTATGCAGCCTGCTGTCTCGCAGCCTGCACAGCCACAGGGCACATAGCCCCAGCAGACGGTAGTGCAGCAGCCTGCTCCCCAAGGTCCACAGCCTGGAGTGGGACAGGTGTCGGGACAAACACAGTGGGTACCAAAGACGGCCATTGCTGCTCGCAAACCCTTCACAGGGGATAAGAGGGGCGAAGACCTCGACACTTGGTTGAGGGCGGTGCCGGTCTATGTCAAGTGCAAACTTACCTTGCCGCACGAGGAAGTGCTTGTGGCTGCATCTTACTCAGAGGGTAGTGCAGCACAATGGTTGAGTGGTTTAGTGCAGCTGCAGGGATACGGTCATGACTTCCGCGCTTGGGCAGCCCACCAGAAATTGGAGGACTTCCTGAAGATGGTGGAGGACAGGTGGCACGATCCTCAGGAGGCCCAAAAGGCCACTGACGCGATCTTGACACTGCATACTAGGCAGTTTAAGTCAGTTAGGGATTCCACTGACGTTGTTGAGCGTCTGATCTGTGTCCCTGGGGTTCGCTATGACCCCCAGGTTCTACTCACCTCCTACCTGAGATGCTTTCCTATGCCTCTCAGGAATCAGTTCGCAGGTGAGGCCAACATCAATATGCACAACTTCCCTTCGTTCAGCAAGAAGGCCCTAGACCTAGAAGCAAAGATAGGGCATGGACATAACCCCACGACGGATGGTAGGAAGAACCATTGACAACTGGAATGCCAAGGGGCTTATCATGTTCATAGACAACGATGGTTCAACCATTGAGATAGACGACAACTTCCAGGAGGGAGTAGGTTCAGAGGCTGGCAGGGTAGAGACTTCAGAGGGTGGAGTAGTCGCTGCCGTTACCCAACAAAAAGGTAAGGGGACCGGTAGACGCCGCGGAGGCTCCCGGTCTAAGAGTCAAGTTGACCCAAATGCTCCTCCATGGGAGAAAGCGGGTCTGGCAGAGGACGTGTGGAGAGACCGGTATACCCGGCAGGCCTGTGTTCGTTGTGGCCAATATGGCCATAGCCAATTCAAGTGCTGCAACAAGAAGGTTACCGAAAAGATCCCGCCTATGATGGGGCAGGCGGTAGGATCCTCCAATCCCGTTGGTAGCAATGTAGCTAGCAGTTCTCGCAGTGCTCCGGGAAACACGTCGGGCCAGTAGGAATAGTAGCTGTTCTTGCTAGGGTCGAGGTGGTGGACACACCCTCACCATCTCGAGAGACGGCCCAGGCTACTGACTCCATCGTCGTCCCGCAAACACGTTCGGACCCATCGAGCCTCTGTTCGATGAATGTGTTTGAGTCCTTAGAGGAGCTAGAGGAGGAATGGTCTAGATCAGACCTGCTAGCTTCTTGGACGGCATTGGCTAAAGCCGCTAAGGGTGAGATGTTCGTCAGCGAGATAGTTGTTGGCGGCCGCAAGGCCGGGGCCTATTACGACACTTGCTCGACGAGAAATTTCATTAGTCGCGCGTGCGTTGAGAGACTACGCTTACAGGGGCAAGTGCAGCGCCTGAGTCGACCTGTGGAGTCGACCTGTGCCAACAAACAGCGCATGGTAGTTAACGACTACCTCCAGGACGTTGAGTGCCTATTCCCATATGCGGGAGGGGAACTGAGCCATCTTGTCTCGTTCCTAGTGAGCGATGATCTCCCAATGGACATATTGTTAGGTATGTACTATCTCTCCGTAGCACAGCCCCTGTTTGACTGGGACCGAAAAGCGGTCAAGCACACTTTGTCTGGTGGAGGGACCACCAAATTACATAAGTTTAAGGCTAGTAGTTTGATTGAGTCCTACAGTTGCATGTGTGCGGCCTCGTTCTATAACTATTATAAGCAAAATCTAGTTTACGTCTCTGCTGCAGGCGAGCCGATGAAAATGTCGCCGGAGATAGAGGGAGTAGTTGCTAAGTACCCTGATCTATTTGAAGAGCCTACAGGGGTTGTTGATAGGGAGGTCGTCCACGCTATAGAGATTATCCCAGGGTCTAGCACCTCGAAGGGTAGGATCTATAGGATGTCTCCAGACGAGCTTGATGAGCTTCGCCGCCAACTCAAGGAACTCGTAGAGAAGGGTTGGATCCGGCTGAGTGTTTCCCCTTACAGGTCTCCAATATTATTTGTACCTAAGAAGAAGGAGGGAGCACTTAGGATGTGCATTGACTATAGGGGCCTCAATGCCATCACTGTCAAGAACAGAGAGCCCCTACCGCGCATCGATGACTTGTTTGATAAAGTGCAAGGGTGTCGGTACTTCAGTAAGATAGATCTGAAGTCCGGGTACCATCGGATTGCAATCCGGCATGAGGATCAACACAAAATCGCCTTTCAGCCCAGGTACGGTCTGTACGAGTTTGTGATGATGCCGTTTGGCCTGTGCAATGCTCGTGGCACCTTTCGGCACGCTATGAATCGGATCTTTCATGACTACTTGGACAATTTTGTCATCGCGTACCTCGATGACATACTTATCTTCAGTAGGACTATCGAGGAGCACGTGGCACACTTAGATAAAGTTCGTAGTCTCCTGCGTCAACACAAGTTCAAGATTAACGGCGAGAAGTGCGAGTTTGGCCGCACCCGTATTTTGCACTTGGGTCATGAGATTTCCGTGGAAGGGTTAAAGCCCGATGACGCGAAGCTGGCCGGCATTCGTGACTGGCCGCGTCCTCAGTCTGTGACTAAGATGAGATCATTCTTAGGGATGGCAGGCTATTACCGTACGTTCGTTAAAAACTATAGTATAGTAGCCGCCCCTTTGACTGATCTGACACGCCTTGACACCCCATGGGAGTGGACAGACAAGTGCGAGGCTGCTTTCAGACATCTGAAGCATGCGTTGACGCACTATGAGGTCTTGAAGCTTCCTGATCCTGACAAGCCATTTGTGGTCACCACGGATGCCAGCCAGTATGGTATTGGCGTCGTGCTTGCGCAACAGGAGGGGCTAAAGTTGAGGCCGGTCAAATACATGTCTAAGAAAACGTTGTCTCATAAGTTGGCAAAGTCCACCTATGAGAAGGAACTCTATGCGGTATACAAGGCTCTGACCCATTAAAGGCACTATCTCCTTGGGAGGTTCTTCATCCTCTGGACTGATCATTAGACCTTGAGATGGATGAGAACTCAACCAGTGCTTTCTGACGCTTTGAAGCGTTGGATCGAAGTCATTGAGCAGTATGACTTTGACCCTCAGTATCTGAAAGGGGAGTACAACAAGGTTGCTGATGCCTTGTCACGTAGACCTGATTTCTCAGGTGCACTGATAACTGAGTTTGATCTGATAGACGATGTAACTCGCTCTTTGGTGGAGGCCTATCGAGACGATCAGTTTATGTCTGAGATCATACGCAGACTAGAGGCGAAGGACAAAAAGACTTCTGCCGAGTGGTCAATGGCTTGCTGTTTCTTGAAAAGGCCGGGAATAAACGTTTGTGTGTCCCAAATAGAGAGTCTTTGCGTAGTTTATTTTTAGGCGAGTGTCATGACACCACAGGCCATTTTGGGTACAAGAAGACCACAGCTAATCTGCTGCAGCGGTTCTGGTGGCCCTCGATGATGCGAGATGCCCAGCTGTACGTGGAGCCTTGTAAGGTCTGTCAAAGAGACAAGCCACGTACTCAGGCTCCTCTTGGGCTTCTAAAGCCCCTTCCGATTCTGGAAAGGCCTGGTGAAAGCCTGTCCATGAACTTCATGGATACGCTGGTCACCAGCAAGAGCGGGATGAGACATATCTTTGTCATCGTGGATAGATTTAGTAAGTATGCTAGGTTAGTAGCCATGCCGGAGACTGCAAAGACCAAGTACGGAATCAGACTTTTTAAAGAGAACTGGGTCAGCGACTTTGGTTTGCCCAAATCCATAGTTAGTGACAGGGATGTCCGGTTCACTAGTGACCCGGAGACTGCAAAGACCGAGTACGTAATCATACTTTTTAAAGAGAACTGGGTCAGGGACTTTGGTTTGCCCAAATCCATAGTTAGTGACAGGGATGTCCGGTTCACTAGTGAGTTGTGGAAGGCCGCTGCTGCGGAACAGGGAACCTAGTTGCAAATGACTTTTGGGAATCACCCAGAGGCCAACGGCCAAGCCGAGCAATTGAACCGCGTTGTGCCACACCTGTTGAGGCATTACATCAAGCCCAACCAGGTGGACTGGGATGAGAAGCTTGCCCTCATCGCCAGTCTGTACAACAACGCTGTACACAGCGCCACCGGGGTAAGTCCAAATAGTTTACTGTTGACTTTCAAACCAAGACTACCCTTAGACTTCCTTCTCCCTGAGAATCACTCAATGGCTGCACCCGGTACTTTAGAATTTGCTTACCGGTATGAGGAGAAGATGCAGCAGGCGATGATAGAATCAGAAAATAAACACCGCCGTCCTTCCACGTTTCAGGTAGGGGAAAGAGTCTGGGTTAAGTCTTCAAAACTGGGACAGGAGTTCGGAATCTCACGCAAACTCATGCTTCAATATTTTGAGCCTTGGGAAGTCTGGACATCGTTGGGACCGATCCGGATGGGCCATCTTATGTTATTCGCATCCCGGGTCATCTCCACACTTACCCTGTCTTTCACGGCTCCAAGCTGGCACCTTTCAAGGAAACAGATCAGTTTCCTACTCGCCACTCAATGCTGCCCCCAACCATGGATGGAGAGGTGGACATCGACGACATTGTGGACCACAGGGAGCTGCAGTACAGAGTTTGGTTCCTACATCATCTGGATCCAAGGGAGGACCACTGGTTCACCAGAGAGGAATTCATGCAGACCGCACCTCAGATCATAGCTTAATACGAGAAATCTCTGCAAAAGGAAAAGCACCAGATCATCGAAGATTGAACTTCTCAGAGGACTAGCGAAGTTATGGAGGAGGGAATGCGAGACTTCAGCCTCTATGAGCCCCTTTTAGGCCTTGTTGGGTAATATGTCGGCCGCCCTAAGTGAAGGCAGGCACGACGAGGGCCTGAGGGCCCCTATTTTGGTCACCACGCAACTCAAGGAAATTCAGGCAGTTGCGCAGCGTCAGTTGGTTGGAAGAACCCACGCCAGGGCCAGCCTGTGTGCATGAATCGAAGGCAGGCCCTGGGCTGGATACGGGATATGGGCCTAACACAGGCCATTCACAGTTGGGCGCAAGCAACCACTACANGCAGGCCCTGGGCTGGATACGGGATATGGGCCTAACACAGGCCATTCACAGTTGGGCGCAAGCAACCACTACAGGCTCAGGGCCTGCATTGCGTGGACTGGGCCTCAGCCTACCTGGGGCTTCCGGAAGCTTCTTGGGAAAGGCCCAGCGCAGCCTGGGACAGCGAGCAGGCAGGCGACTTCCATATAGTAAAGGGCCTGCCTCCTGTTTTGGCATTCGGGTGCTGGCTGCATGCTGCGTAAGCGCAGCTGCGCTATTTGCTGGCTGGCGCCCACACACTCACGGGCGAGCAGGGATGAGCAGGCAGCCATAGCCGAGCTGCACTGTTGTGTGCTGGATGAGGCGCAGGGTGGTCCTTGGGTGCAAGTGGCATCTGTGTGTTGAGGAACGGGGTTGAAAGTGAAGCGAGAGACATACTTGGTGCTGGAAGCGTGTGGCATTGGCCGCTATGTGCTCGTATTGCGGGAGAGTTGTTGTCGTCAACTTCGACATTGTAGAAGTAGGCTAGATAGGATCTGCCAATCTGTAGTCTGGGTGCCGAGCGCCAGATAGGACATCGACACCGGTTCATTGTTGGTGATGATGGGACTATTCGCACATTGTCAATTGTGAGCTTTTGCTGTACTCTTATTTGGTGGAACTCGTGATGCAATTCTGCTTTTGGTTCGAGGTCACGACTATCTGGTCTCTTGTGTATGATGCTATTTGGTTGCTGGAATTCGCTATTGCTCATCTTCCTTGCATGATGACAACTGCCATACGAATAAGTTGTGCCAGGGAGTAGACAACACCCTGGCACATTGTTGTCTCAGTGCTCCAGCGTTTGCACGACTAGTAAGGAAGGAGCAACTGGAGGATCAGGTCTTTGCAGTGTATGTCAGACCTGTCATTGAGCCTAAGGAAGGGGATAGTTCCACAGACCCATCCATTGCCAAGCTGCTGGAGGAGTTTAAAGATCTCACTGAGCGACCGACAGGAGTAGTATCGCGGCCAATCCAGCACAGGATAGAGATAGAGCCTGGCAGTAGAACTCCTAAGGGAGTAGTCTACAGGATGTCCCCTAGAGAGTTAGAGGAGCTGCGCAAGCAGTTGGATGAGTTCCTCGAGAAAGGTTGGATTAGGCCTAGTTCGTCTCCTTTTGGAGCACCAGTTCTATTTGTCCCCAAGAAGGAGGGAGAGTTAAGGATGTGTATAGACTATAGGGGTTTGAATGCGATTACTGTGAAGAATGATGAGCCCCTACCCAGTATAGACGATCTCTTAGATTGGGTGCAGGGTTGCAAATATTTTTCGAAGATAGACTTAAAGTCTGAATATTATGAGATAGAGGTCCATCCTGATGACCAGTACAAGACTGCATTCCGGACTAGATATGGGCACTATGAGTTTATAGTAATGCCCTTTGGACTGACCAATGCGCCCACGACATTTCAACGATGTATGAATGATCTATTTAGGCCTTGGTTAGATAGATTTGTGGTAGTTTACTTAGATGATATCTTAGTTTTCAGTAAGACCCTCCAAGAGCATCAGGGTCATTTGAGGCAAGTCTTGGAGAAGCTGAGAGAGGCTAACTTCAAGATCAAATCCAAAGAAGTGTGAGTGGGCCTAGACACAAGTCCTGTACTTGGGCCACGTCTTAGACGGAGATGGCAATAAGCCAGAGGACAGCAAGATAGCGGCAATAAGAGATTGGCGTTGCCCCACACACTGGCAGAGTTGTGGTCGTTCCTTAGCCTAACTAATTACTACAGGCCTAACTAATTACTACAGGAAGTTCGTGAGGAACTTCTCTACTATCGCCGCTCCCCTTCGCCGGTAAAGAGGCAATCTGGCAATGGGACAAAGACTGTACGTTTGCGCTAAAGAAGTTAAAGCGCGCATTGATAAAGTACCCTGTCCTCAAAGTAGCAGATCCGTCTCTGCCATTTGTCGTCACCACGGACGCAAGTCAGTATGGAATAGGCGTCGTGCTGCACCAGGACGACGACAATGGTGACAGACCCGTAGAGTTCATGTCAGCGAGGATGCCCTCAGAGAAGGTCACTACCTCGACGTATGAGAGGGAACTCTACGCTCTCAGGCACGCCTTAGAGCACTGGAAGCACTACCTGCTTGGGAGGCACTTCAAAGTCTATTCGGACCATGAAACGCTTAGATGGCTAAAGACCCAGGCCAAGATGACACCTAAGTTGACTAGGTGGGCCACTGAGATAGACCAGTACGACTTCAAGCTCAAGCCAGTCAAAGGCAAGTACAATGTAGTGGCGAATGCTCTAAGTAGGAGATCAGACTACTTTGGAGCTATAATACACTATCTGGACATAGGGAAGGACCTGCAAGAGAAAGTGAGACAAACGTATGCGCAGGATCCTATCTATAGTAACCTCCTCAAGAGAGTTAAGGAGGCCCCAGAGACCGGACCAGACTACCGCACTACTGAGGGATTGCTGTTTGAGAAGACTAATGTATCAGACCGCCTATGTGTTCCCAACAGTGAAGAGATCTGCTGTCTGATCCTAGGGGAATGCCACGACACAAAGGGACACTTTGGTTGGCAGAAGACTCTAGCCAATCTGATGCGTGCGTATACCTGGCCAGGAATGAAAGTTGAATGCATAGAGTATGTTCGCAGTTGCAAAGTTTGCCAAAGGAACAAGAGTACTACGCGCGCCCCTCTAGGACTTTTCAGACCCTTGCCTATCCCAGACCAGCCCGGAGACTCTGTGTCCATTGACTTTATGGACACCCAAGTCAAGAGTAGGCACGGCAAGAGCCAAGTTATGGTCATAGTTGATAGATTTAGCAAGTATGTTGTTTTTGTTCCTTTGCCTGCAGAGGCACGCACAAAGTTAGTGATCCAGAGGTTTTTTGACTGAGTGAGCATGGCGTCCCGTTGTCTATTGTTAGTGATAGAGACACCCGCTTCACCAGCCAGAACTGGCAGGAACTGATGAGAGTCTATGGG